TTTGGCCCCAAAAGGTAAAAAACAGAGGAATCTCACAAAAGCAGAAATTGAAGTAATTGTCACAGTGTTGGAAGCTACAAAAGATACATGTTTCCGTAGTGTGTCCTCCAGAGTGATGACGTTTTAAAAAATTAAGCCTGGGCTGCAATAACTGAGGGAATGTACCCTGAGGTTCGGACTGTGGCACAAGTAAAAAAAAGAAACTAAGGAAACTAAATAGGAAAAAATACATTTAATGAATGTAATAATAATAAATAGGAAACTAATAAATATTATATTCCTGTTTGTGCACAGTTTCCCTGTCGAACAAATATACAGATTGAATAAAAAATCTAAATATCAGGTAGAGAGATTAGACTAGTCTGTACCCTCCCTCACTCGATGTCTCCTGCACAGTGAGGAGCACTTGAGCTGTGGACATTTCTCCATTCTTAGATGCATGACGTGGATGTGGACTCCGCTGAATAATCATAAATATTGCTGCTTCAGGATCAGGACAGACACACACTAAAGTTCCGGTCATCCTGTGTCAGAGTCTCTGTCGTAATCTGCTTCCTCCTCACTCCCCCTCTGACCTGCGCTAACTTTTCACTTTAACAATAAACACCATCACTGATCACAAGTTATTAGAACACTTTAGAGTTTACGAGACACACGTTTAAACCTGCTACACAACATGAGACACAACGTGACACGCTCAGTAAGGACATCAGGGTTATAGAGACAGACATTATGGATTAATAACTAAATACATGTGATTTTCAGTTTGTGTGTGAGGAGGGACACACACACGCACGCACACGCACGCACACACACACACACACAGACACACACAGTGGTTAAGTGGCTATACTTGTTTTTTAAGACATGCTGGATGTAATTGAGCATGTTTAATTTAAAAAAAAAAAGAAGATAAATGGGGTTTAATGTTTTATATTTGTGTTTAGAACCATGAAATAAATAAGAAACTGTACCACCGGAAAGTTTTAATGAACCTTATTTTATGACTGTATTACTAAGGGAATAAATGTTTCAACCCCCGTATTTTAAACATGACCCTTTTATGGTTAGACTTTGTTGGACACATACATGTCAAGATAACCTAAACCTGTGCTAACTCCCAAACTATCACACGATCGGCTCTCACAGTCCTCACAGCTGAGGTGGATTAAATCTTACAGTGTTAGTCTTATCTACCAACAGTCGGTCAGAGGTGTGTAAATCCATCATGGAAACTGCAGTCTGTTGAGTACACAGCTTTACAACAACTATTTTTATTGGACCCTTTCTTGTCCCCCAGCTAAACAACTGCAAATTTAACTTAGTTTACTTCTGCACTGTGCATTACATGAGTCGAACCATATGGATGCAGCTATTTTTGAAATGTGATTCGGAAGAACCGCAAACATTCTCTTTGGACATTTTGCTGTCCATTTTAACAATCTTTTCACCTTTTTTTCTGAGGCCAAAATACCTCAGATAATGGTGTTACGACAGAGAGGATCAGTCACCATAAGGAAGTTATAATTAAGAGATGTGAATCAGATTTGTGAAATCATCTTGTGCAAGAGTTTAAAGCATGTGATTTGCTGCAATGAAATAGGAAAAAGTGTTCAGGTTGTGTAACCGTGGAGAAACCGTGGAAAGATAAGGAAGCTTGAGAAAGAACACTATCAGAGCATTTAAAACTGAGGCATATTATTGTTATCAAACGGATTAATGATGTGCACAAAATTCAGTATAAAAAGAAAAATAAGTATAGGTTTTATCAGACTTTTCAATTTTATCAGGATACTATTATTGGATTACTCTCTGAAATGTATTATTTATTAATAATCACATAAGACAGCTAAACCAATATATCTATCTTCTTCTAGATTTCCACACCCACTAATTTTTATGTGGGAGTTTGTGTAGTGGATGAGAGGAACTGAACTTCATCTCGCACCTTGTGACAAGATGATTCATTTCGAAAGTCGTCTTCTGACAAACCTGTGAAACCCCCCAAACTGACTAAAATTATGTTTAAATGTCTCTGGTAACATCGCTGGTAACATTTCATCTTTGCTTCCACATCAAAGATCTTGGTCTCACGTGCAACTGAAACTGTTCAGTTGATTTTGTGAAACAGAAATGTGAATGATCCTCTTTTAAAGGGAACCTGGCCTGTTCAACAAGGCATCTTTTGATTGTAACCCTTAAACCGTGGATCAGATGTTAATGTAAACATACTGATTAAAGTTTGTTGACTTTGTCTTACATAACCTTCTTTGTGCTGAAGTCCATGTTTTCTAAAGTTAATCATTGCAATTATCTGGAGCCGCAGGTGTAGCGCTACCAACAGGACCAATAACAATACAGGGGTTTATATCACAACTCTGTCTATGTTTATATTGTATCAGTTCCATTTGAAGTAATGGTACAGTCATAGATAAGGACCCTTTGTTTTATAATAATACCTGTTAGTACTGACATAGTATAGCTTTTTATTAAAAATACTGTTATGGTATTCATATAATCAGATTAGGTTCAGAACAATGTGGTGATACTGAAGTGCTGATCCACTGTCATTGAACCAAACTGTGAATATGTGTGACTCCTGTATCAAATTTCCTGGATAAGAAGGTTCACACAAACACAGCAGGAGCTAACTCAATTAGGTTTCTGTTTCCCTGAATCAGGTAGTAGTCAGGTCAGCCCTGAGGCTTTGGGCCTCATCCAGTATCTGTTCACTAGCGTAACTTCCCTGCAAGCAGACCCTGAAAGGTTTCTGGCTGAGTGGCTGCTCCAGATTACAGTCAGATGATTCTGCTTGTGTAGATGCACACAGGCATCTCTCTGTAAACATACGTGCCATAAGTAAATGGTCTGTAATAACCAGGGCGTGTTCAATAAAGAGCAGGGGAGCCCTGTGTGAGAAAACAGAGGCCAAGGCCAAACAGTCTGCTTATGAAATCACATTTACTTTCACTCTCATAGAGATAACAATTAGTGACACATCATAAAGATCAAGATCTATGAATGATTCCCAGGAAAATCATTGTCAAAACTCGTCCTATTTGCCAGCGAAATTGAAAACCAATTATTGGATCTGCCCCACCCTATCCGGATCTGCACCAACATTTAATGGGTGTTTCCCTGACCCCTACCACATCCTTCCACCCAGGTTTGTGGGAATGTGTCGAGCGTTTTTTGCGTTATCCTTCCAAATAATAGACAAACAAACACAGATGAAAACATAACCTCCTTGATGACTTCACTAAGATTTATGTTCTTTGCTATGTACAATTCAATTCAAGAAAGTATCAGAGCTGTTTCATGCCAACCTCTACAGCTTCTTTCCATGTGCAAGCAACACAATTTAAATGTTTAAGGACAAAATATATATTATATTTGGCTGATCACAGATTAATCACATGATGGGAGTAGTTTTGCATTTGAGGTTTCCAATCAACCTCATGGAAACAATGTGCTAACTCTTCTTCACATCTAACAGTTCCTGTAAGTCACAGAGTTAAAACAAAAACCACAACAGAACCACAACTGCTTTTATATAAACTGGTGAATTAATTATAAACTCAAGTGATGAATATGTTACTAGAGAAAATAATACATGTTCTCATAATGCTTTCTGAAGAGAGCCATGATATTTTCAGTCAATTGTGTAGCAACAAAACACAAAATTATGTAATAAACGATGACAAGAGCAAAGGGAGAACATGGGGTTATTAAAAACATGGCTGGGTACATCTGAGCTCATGTGCACTAACTCTTGCGACCATGAATGACATCTGGTCTGCAGCTATAGTGTTTTAATACCTCTGAGGCAAAGACCATTTCTTCATTTAGCTGTGTTTTAGAGGAGTATGCATCATCAGTCCACTGTCATTACCAGAAGTAATTAAATTACTTCTACCTTTTTCTCTCTCTGCAGTAATTCATTAAGTGAACAGGTCCTTGTTCTCTGTGGTCAGTGTTTCATTTGCAAAAGCCAAGTGCATGCAGCAATGTCTTCATACGTTTTGAAATGTGCACAGCTATAGAATGGATACAGTTTCAGAATCGAATGGCTTTGGCTATATAAGTTTGTGAAGAATACTCTCCCACCAAGCACTTTATGAGGAACCCGTACACCTGCTTACTCATGCCATTATCCAGTCAGCAGCGCCGTAAAATCATGCAGATTCAGGTCAGGAACGTTATTTGATGTTCACATCAAATGTCATAGTTGGGGGAAATGTGATCTTTTGTGATTTCTGAAACTGCTGCTCTCCTTGGATTTTCACAAACAAAAGAGATGTCCAGTGAGCAGCAGCACATTGGAATGAGAGAGGTCAGAGGAGAATGGCCTGACTTGTTATGAGCTTACAGAAAGTATAACCATTAACTATGAGCAGAAAGTAACACAGATAACCATTAACTATGAGCAGAAAGGCATTTCAATGAGCTAGCAGTAGATGGGCTACAACAGCAAAAGCCAACTCCTGTGAGAGGAGAACAGAAACGTGGACTCAGTGGACTCCCCCAGTCACCAGATCTGAATTCAATAAAGCATTTTTTTTGGGATGTGGTGGAACGAAAGATCGGCAGCATGAATGTGCAGCTGAAGAATCAGCACAGACTCAGAGATGCAGTCACATCAACAGTTTCTAACGTCTTGTGGAATCAATGCCAAAAAGAACTGAGGCTGTTTAGAAAGCAAAATGGAGGCTCCTGGTCTATCTCTCTCCCCCTCTTCCTCTCCTCCCAACCTGACCCGCCCACACTGAGTGTAGTTCTGTCCGTGGTTTCTTCTCATTACAAGAGAGCTATTTTTCTTTCCACTGTTGCCAAATGCTTTCTCATAGTGGGAATTGTTGAGTTTCACTAAATCAATTTATAAGGGCTCAGCCTTAAGTGTCTTGAGATAGCATATGTTGTGATTTTGGTGTTATACAAATACATTGAATCATGAGTATGTTGTTCTGGCTACATGTGAATACAGAGTGAATCAAACTCACCGAGATGGAGTAGATGAGGGCAGCAATGCCGAGTGGCAGGCAGCAGCACATCAAGGTGAAGATAGAGTAACATATGTAGTCGTTGACAGGCTCGGCCAGCGGACTCCGAGTCACGTACACCGTGGGCTGGTGTATGGTGACGGTGGCTGGATGTGCTGGGTACTCCTGACGCATGGGATGCGGCTGTTGTCCGTATCCATCATTCCCATAAGGTGGTGGAGATACAAAGCCCTGCAGGCCACAGGCATGAAAAACAATTCAAATGGGGGTGAGCATCAAAATAATATCAATAATTATCGTAATATATTCATCAGCAGCAATGTAACAAAGGTTCAATATACGATACATTAGAGCTGGGCAATATGGAAAAATCTCATATCAGTTGATGTAGGGATATAAATCAAATAACCAGAACAATTATTATGTTTATGTACAATGTTCTTCTTCAGTACAAACATTTTTTTTTATCCCAAAAACAGATTTTATTTGCTTGTACAATCATCCTGTGCCACTGCTCTTTACTTTTAACATTTCATACAAACCACTACAGTGAAAAGGTTTATATAATGTACATACTCAGCATTTTCTCTTTAATTTAATTTTTTTTCAATAGCCTTTTTCTATTTCTTTATTCTCGTGTCTACCTCATTCCGATGTGCCTGCTGATATAACAACTGAATTTTTCCAAGTGTGTGGATTATTAAAGTTTTATCTTATCTTAAATCAGCTCCACTGCACTGAGGCTCATTACTTCGTTGGTCAACAAGTGACTCTGATGGTTTCTAATCACTCACACTTAGAACTGATCTTTATAAAAACCTGCTGAATTCATATTATGTTCCTGGATAAACGGGGCGTCGCTTCTTCTGCAACAGTGACGATAAAACACTGTGTAAGGTCATAATCTGCAGAAGTGTTCTGTCAGCAGGAGTGTGAGTGAGTGTGTGTGTCCCCGCTCATCTCTGTTAGTCTTCACACGAACTGAAAAACACATGTATTATTTATTATTCCATGATGTCGGATCATGACTCAGGATCGTTCCGGTCACTTTAACCCTGATGTCCTGACTGTGCGAATCACCTCTCGTCTCGTGTAGCAGTTTTAGAAGTGTGTCTCATGAACTCAGCGCTGGGGTGGTTAAAGTGTAAAGTGAGCGCAGGTCAGAGGAGGAGTGAGGAGGAGTCAGACTGCGACAGAGACTCAGACACAGAAAGACAGGACTTTGAATGAGCGACTGTCCTGAAGCAGCTGTGTTATAATAATTCAGTGATGGAAAACAGCTGAAACTATTAAAGTAGCAGAAAACATACATATGTTCAGTCTCTGCATCGATACAGAGTCGTCCTCTCTGCAGGAGCCCAAACATTAGCACGTGTGCTGCTCCTATACTCTCTGCTGTGTGCGTTAACCTAACTTGATGTGGGCGTAACTCTATTCCTGCCACATGATTAGATCAGCACGACGCTATGCTTATTATCATTTGCTGTTTGTGTTGTACGTCAAAACATGGACTGGATGAGTTCTATCAACATTATATCGACATGTCTTAAATTTCCTCGAGGAAAAGTAATATCCCGATAAATATTGATATCGTTTTGTTGCCCAGTCCGACGATATATCGATATATTTGTTGTGCATTATCTTAGCCCTGTGATGAGGTAAGATAAGATACCTTCCCACGAAGAGGACAATCACAAATGACACAGCAGCACAAGAAAGTAGCAGCGCAAGGAGAAACATATAGTAAGACCAAAAGTCTATATCAATTCGATCTCACTTTTCATGTAAAATGAAGGAAAAGTGAGTAGAGTTATTCTGCAAACAAGAAAACATTTCGTCCTGATGATAAAATAATCAGATTTGGGATACATGACATGACACGTGGTTAAGAGGAAGTGAAACTGAACTGAATATTTCAGTGTGGGTTTGCCAGCGCTGAGGAGAACATCCACCACATCCTTTATAGGACATATAACGAGGATAGTTCGAGCTCACAGACACAATTTAAACACAAACTGTGACAAACAATTTGAGTTTTATTGTCTTGATACTGTCAAAGTTCAAAAGTCGGGTTTAGGATTGAATGATTCATTGATTCTCAAAAAGGGCGTATCCACCCACATGATGCAAAGAAAAGAAAAAAAGAAAAATTCCCACAATTACTGGACTGTTTTTAAAAGATAGGATTTGTTGATCCCACGCTGAAGAAATTCACTGCAGCAGACAGAAGAAGGTAGACAAAATCAAATATAGTTGTAAAATAGGCAATGAAGTAAAACTACAGAGAATATGTACAGAACACACACCTTTCACTACAGATGGAAATATTATTTGTAGAGAAATGTACTTCAAGTAAAAAGCAGTGGCACAGGATGATTGCACATGGATATAAACTATATTTTTAAATGATGTAAAAGGAGATATTGAAATAGACATACGCATATATGCTTTTATTGACTGCTTTAAGAATAGTGGCATGTATGGTATAGCCTACAATATGAATGAGTGTGAAAACATGTACGTGTAATATAGATGGGTATACTTTCACTAAATAGCAGTGTACTCATCAATATATATTATATTTATAAGGATATATTTAGTATAGGTGAATTAGAGGCAAACAAATGGGATAATGTAAAATATTTTGTATAAGTTATACAGACAGGAATTAGTGCAGGACTAATGTGCAAAATTCTTATTCTTATTTATATCTTATTATTTATATCAAATTAAACTTTTGTCAATATTGCAAGTAATCGTGATTTGCTGAGATTTTTAAAATGTATTTTACATTGAGAATGAATTTCAGCTCTGAACTTCTCTAGCCAACGTGATTAGCAAAGAATTGTTTGAATTTAATGATGTGAATGTAAACGGGATTTAAGCCAAGAAAGAGTAAATAAGTGATTGTTAGTCTTTATCAGTGAAGTCCGGAGGTGGAGGGATGTGTACCTGCGGCTGTGGAGGGTATCCCATGCCGGGCTGAGGCGGGTACCCCGGGTAGGGGCTGTCATGGTAGGCCGGAGGGGGCATCTGGCCCATTGAGGACTTCTCCCCGCCGTAGTTCATTGGAGGAGCGGTGGCAGATTTATTGGGGTCCATTACCACAGCTTGTTGTGTGGTCGTTCACGAGGAGAAGAAGAAGAAGAAGAAAAAGAAGAATGTCCCTGTCCGTCTCACGTCTTTTTCCTCCCGGAGGACAAGTGTTGTAGAGTCCGGTCCTGCAGCTCGAGTGGGTCCCTCTCTGCAGAGCGACGAGCCAAGCGCGCTAATGTCGCTCATTAAAGTCAAGTGACGCACACACAGCACAACTTCCTGTCGACACCTTCAAAACAACAGCGAATGATTCAGCTTGGAAATAGAAATGCAATCTAATGTATAGTCTCTCTTTCTATCTCTCTCTCTCTTTAGTAACCTTATGTGGTAGGGCTATTTCAATTATAAAACTTTTACATCCATTTTATTTATTCATAAATAAAAGGGCTTAGTTAAAACAATGACAGGAATCATGAAAAGCAAAGACTTAAAATCACGAAGGGGAGAGACTAGTTTTAAATGAGAGATAATGGAAGTGTTGTGGATTAAAACAGCTGAATGTATCTAAAGTTACTTGGAGATTTACCATTACATTGGAATCATTATTTGCATTTTGTGAGGAAAAAGCATCAGCAAATTCTAAAGTTCTCTAACCAGATTAGCTCTCATTTATTTCCTGCGTATTGAGACCATTTTGAATGTCTTTCTCAGGCTTTTTTTTAAAAGGAAATTTCTCATGGTTTCCGGTTCAATTCTGGCTACTGATGGCGAACTTGATGTTGATCTCCGAGCTAAGCAATTTAAAAGGAGGTGCGAAGACTTGGGGCCTCTCATAACACGAGGCCAACGAGGCCAGATGAGAAGCAGCCACAGAAAACTAGCACACGCTCCCTCTGGATCTGTCCCTATGGCCGTCATGTGGAGACCTGAGGATCACATCCACTCACACAAGAGCTCACCCTCCACAGATGCACTGCAGCGTTTACAGAGACATCAAGGACACATGTGGACGGATTAGTATGATAACATCAGTGCTCACTAGATGGAGCCAGAGCATTTCTAAACCCAAACAGCTCTCACATATCTCACATATATGTCCCAGAAGATTGTATTTTTTTAATCCTGTGGCCACAAGTTATTATATTAGATATTTATTCTAAGATGTTTGTGTTGTTTTAATCTCTCAGACGCTCACAGCCACCAGATTTGTACCAGAGCATGGAGAAAACTCGGCTAATCAAGATTTATGTCACACAATAGAATTTTTGTTGCTCTCGAACAGAGACACAGGGTTGTCGGGAATCATTTGCTGCAGATACTGAAGAGAAACAGGCTCAGCTGATGGAAGGACTGTTTGAATCATACTTGAGAAATGAACAAACTCTTAAAAGCTATAAATGCAGTGTTGTCTTCAAAGCATCGACCAGTCATGTCTTTATACTCAGAAATTGATTCAGAGTGCACATCTAATTTATGTCACGAGAGCAAGATCTTAATAATTTGTGTGCACAAGATAAAAAAAGATATCAGGAGTTCTTGTACATGTACACGACCTCCACACAAAATGTTGTGTTCTTGTCTTAGTGTTTTAATGTTTGTGAAAAAATGTTATGTATGTTTTATTGTATTTATATTTCTCTTCCTCAGCTTCACCTGATTCCAGCAAAGCTCATCCTCATGTATTGCCGCCATCTTCACTGCCTGTCACTTATTTATCATCAAACTGTCCTTTCCATGCATCACCTGCACCATTTGAACTTTTCAAGAATTCTGAACAGCTCAATATTAATCCATCAAAGTTATATTACAATTTTATATTTATGTCATTTATGTTGGTCTGTTGATTTATATCAATTATTTACACAGCTTTGTTCAGTTAAATGTGTTTAAATGGGCTATACCGGTATATTGGCTCATGGCAATTGGCAATGGTTTTTAAGATGTTATTCTCACACACTGATGAAGATACTGAATGGTAGTATATATTATATACATCCATGTCCCTTCAAATATTTCTGTCTGTAGTGAGTGAGGCGATTATTCAGTACATATTCTGTATTTGTATTTAATTAATCTTTTATTTTATTGCCTATTTCATTCTATAAGGTGTTCTGCAGTGTGTAGAACTTAGTGACATCTAGAGGTGAAGTTGCATGTTGCAGCTGGATACTCCTTTTCTCACCCTCTCCTTCCCAACATGAAGGAGAACCTGTGGTGAACTTCAGTTGTCATGAAAACTGAAAAGGTTTTAGTTTGTCCAGTTTGGACGACAGAAAAAAACATGGCAGCCTCCACAGAGAGGACCACACTCCATGTAAATATAAAGTTTTTAGATATAAAGAGCCTATTCTTTGGTAAAGAATTCATACAATTTAGATGAAACACACCAGTGAAAACAACACTAGGGTTATTTTATATTCAATTTCTGCCAAAAAACCCTTTCACCTAAAGCAAACTGAACCTTTAACTCCTACCAAGTGCATGTATCCAGTGTGGGTTCAAGATAGTTGATCTACCTTTATTTTATTTTATGACAAAGAAATGTAAATGAGGCTTGATATATTTCAATTTGAACATAAACCTTATCATAACTAACTACCAATAAAAAAAGACACAAATACAACCACCTGTGTCTATAGAGCTTAGCATCAATACTGCATTTTGTGTTCTTTAAAGTAAAAGTTTTCCTACTGGCAGACATTTATGCTGATACCTATGTGTGGAGGTGAAGGGGCGGACAGAGCACCTTCACCTGCACCACAGAGGATCAATCAGCACAGGTGAGAGCTGTTAGCTGATTGATCCTCAGACTTTAAAAGGAGGCAGCAGAGCTGCCTCGAGGAGAATGCACGGAACGCACAGGAAAGACACACTGGAGAAAGACACTGGGAAGAGAGACTTGGAGAAGCCAACTGTCCAGCAGAAAGTGCTGGACAGTTAAGTGCCATGTTTTGTATGTTCTGTGGGTTAAATAAAAAGAGATGTTAAACAAGCAATGGTTGGACTGGTTCGTCTCTGGCTGTCGTGAGGGGAACCCCGTGGCGTGGTCGAATGCCACACTATGTTTGTGAATTGATCAGGCTCTACTTTCAGTAGTTCAACATTTAGTTCACCATTACGACTTCGTAGTTGAAACAGGCTGGTTTACTGTGGTGCTGACAACTTGTAGTAGTACGTCAGAGTCCAGTTATGATGTATAGACTGAATATAGCCTGGATTCCCTCAAAAATGATCTTGAAAAGTATATTATTTATACACTATCTTAAAAGCATTCAACAAAGTGAAGCTTCAGTGGATTTCAGGAGCTCCCAGTGAAACACAAAACACACAGACACTCAATGAAACGTTCAGCACTCAGTCGTTCCAACAGGTCTTTTATAGAAACATGACAGATTCTTTCTGTATCTCTGAACAGTGCAATCCACTACACTCCTCCATAAAGCTAAACATCAGACTCCACAGATTATCTTGAACTATCGTGGCCACATGTATTGTATATATATATGACATGAGAGAATGGTCAGTGGGTTAGCTTGGTCACGATTAGCGACTAATATCTACATCAATGTTTACCATACACACACATTACAGACAACAGAAGTACTGTGAGACACGACCTACAGCATGTAGACACTTGTTTGCTTATTTTTTGGTAATAAGTTGGTTTTACTCTTGTGTGAAGACACAAGACAGTGACAGTGTGTCCGAGTGTGTGTGTGTGAGTTTGGGTTTGTGTGGAGGTGCAGGCTGCACAGTAAGGACAGTAGCTTATCAGGCAGAAAGCATCACACTTCACAGCAGCTACGCACAAGACTACTTCCTGTTGATCTGTCTAAATAAAAAAACAAATGAAAAAACAAAGAGAAGCCTCTCATTGGGGGGACACAAAATCGCTGCAGCTCCTCCTCCTTGTAATCTGTTGGTTGCAGGTTTGGGAAGTCAGTGTGTGTTCGGATCGAACTCTAGCAGTCACAGGAACGAGCTGGAAAGACAGACAGACAGACAGAGGCAGGAGAGTGAGTTTCAACAATGTAGTTAATCAAAATTCTGCTAGAAAATATCATCAAAAACACTCTACACCAGAGCGGTGTGGTGGTAGAGTTTCCATGTTCTCCCTGTGTCTCCATGGTTTGCTCCTGCTTCCTCCCACAGTCCAAAAACATGCAGAATGGGATTAGGTTAATTAATAGACTCTAAATTGACTGGAGGTGGTAGTGTGAGTACACGCTTGTTTGTCGACCCTGTGATTCCATGACAACTGGTCCAGGGTGTACCTGGCCTACCGCCCAATGTCCCCTGGAGGGATAAGTGGTAAAGATAATGGAAGGATGGATGGATGAATGAATAATACACCAGGTTATAATAAAATAGAACATATTACTGTAAATTGTTTAACATTACTTTCCTTCAGATTAGAATTTAAAGAACAAATCATTAATATGAGATATGTATAAGTGTGTGTGTGGGAATGTTTATTTATTAATTGGGATATGTATTTTTCTATATATTCAAGTTATATTCATATATTAATGATAGCAAAGAGTTCAGTGTAGCCATTTGGATCTTAGCCTCTGTGTGTGGAAAAAGAGCCAGATAATTAATACACCAGTCATTCTGTGATGTGATGGAAACAGGGACAACGTGAGTGTTCATGTGTGTGTGTGTGTGTGTACAAGTGTGCAGTATGTCCCTGTAGGCTCTTGCTGAGTTGCTTACACAATGCACACACACTGTTTTTCCATACGGGCCACCTGTGTATTTTAGCTGCATCGAAGCTGTTTAAATCAAACCGGTTTAGTTTGCCAGTAGCCTCTAGCATCATCTTATCTTCAGGAGTGAAATTAGTTTGAGCCTAGAGGCAGCAAATGAATAACAGAGGTCTTCATTAGAAATTGGGAGCAAAAGACGTGGGGGATTTCAGTGTAACTGTCAAACCCTCAAGGGCATTGTTTACGGCTGTTGTTTCTGACACCGACCATCGCCTTCTCATCCCTCCCCCTTACGTCTGCCAGGCCCCCAGAGTCCCACCACCTGTTGAACAGCGAGGTCCATGGCATCTCAGTCCAGCGCTATGGGAGTCAGTGTGTGTGTGACGTGCGGCCCGTTAACAGAGAAACAGATGGACATTGTATAAATATAACGACAGTCCTGAGGAGGACGTAAACAGGGACTGTTTCAGAATGAAAAATTCTACATGTGAATGTGTAAAAAGAAATGTAGGAAGAGGTGGAAGGATTTGTTC